GTGGACACTATTATATCTTATATTGACTATTATTTCACATTATTATACATTTGTGACCCGCTAGATCAGTCGGAAGTCGCAACGGCTCATTTCAAAATAAACGTTGATTTGTGTAAAAAACTAGTTTTTCAGGGTTCGGGTGTTTTGTTTGATTTTAAATAAACAAAGTCTTGGCTTTCAGAATATTAAACTTTTATTTCCAAAATCACACGATAAATACATGTTTGAAGCTTGTAAAGGGAAGATGACAGCTCTCACTCGCCATTCTGCTGTTCCGCAGCGCCGCTTCCCCTCCCTCCGGCTGAAATTATGAATGTAAGCGTAGAGTAATCATAGATAACACTGCAGGGTCCGTTACAGTTTGTTTTCATCTGATTTCAATTAAACAAAGTCTTGGCTTTCAGAATATTAAACTTGTTTCGGCAAATTCAGATGATAAATACAACTTTGAAGCTTGTAACGGAATATTACAATCGGAGAACGGAGTAACTTAACGTCGCAGCAGGCATAACAACAGCCGGTGTTTCTCATGAGGGTTTTCCCCGGGAAACAAACACAATACACACAAACGCAAAAATACACAAACACACACACACACACTCGCAAGCTTCCCCCAGACCAGTAACCCAAACGAAAATATCTTCCCTCCGTACTACATTGATCATTTGCTCCGCTAATAATCAATCAGATCGATGGATTCCAGAGAAGGGGAAACTTTGAAGGCCTTTTTCTCCAAATGATGACTCGGTGACAGTCATTATATAATGTGACATATTTTGCTTAATATTTGAAGTACAAAAACAATCCTGATATCATTAGAAAGCTAGGAATCTCCTCTTTCCAACGGTGTATACAACTCAAAAATGTGTCTTTGGGTCAATGCGAATGATTTCGACGGAGCAGGTCACAAATAATCTCTGCAAAAATACCTGATATTCAACACAATCTAGTTTTCCATCTACACAATCAGCCATGTACACCAAATATCTTTTCATATTTGAAATGAAACAATCCAATTTATGAAATATATATATCATAGCAAAGACTACTTCTTAAATAACCATGAATTAAAGAAAATATTAAAAGGTATAATTGAATGTGCAGCCTTTGTTTATGTATGTTTGATCTCCTTTCTTCCAGGTGAAAGTGCGACTCATTACCTGGTTAAGAACACAGTGAGGACATTCAAAGAGCTTGGGGTAAGAGTGTGTTTATTAAATATTTCAAGTTTATAATTACATGATGTATTGTCTGTAGTTATAGAAAGTGTTAAGGAAGTAGATTTCATGCCTTTCTCGTCTCTCCTGCAGGTCCTTAAGCAGAGAAAAGAGAACCAGGTGACGACTCTGGAGCTGAGCAGCACCTTTCTACCTCAGGCCAATCGGAACAAACTACTGCAGTACATCTTGGGTTTCACCCTGCTGTGACCGACACACCTATCAGCCCAGGCTCCTTCCAATAAAGGGCTTCTACTGGTTACTTCTAAACAATCCCAGGTGCTACTCTGTGGAAAGCTTTACCAGGAAGTGCCTTCACGTAACAGCCGCTAACTGTTAGCTGTTAGCCGGAAGAGACTTAAAGCCAGTCTTCCCTTTTTGTTCCAGTCTAAGACTTAGAACTGTGCAGCTGATAAAACAACATGTATTGTTCTTCGAAGAGGGATCAGCCTCTCTTTGTGAACTTTACCAGTGAAGTCATGAGGTTTTAAAATGATCAACATTTTAAACTATCACAAAATATACTTAAGCAGGTTAGAAAATAAGAGTTTTACAGCAATCCGAACAAAGCAAGCTGCCTTTCATCTATTCAAGTGAACAAGACAAATATGCATAGAAAATATTGGTGAACATAACCAACAACAAAGGCATTTCACGTAAACTATGCTTGTTTGTAAGACTGCTGTTTTCATTTCAGTGCACTCTATTATCATACCGAAACAACTGGTCTAAATTAAATCTGATGAAAGGCTAATTTTGAAAACAAATCTCTGTACATATGCCACGGGAACAATGGTTCTTGTTCGCAGTGCATTTATAAAGACGCACTCCGGTGTCAATTAAATAATATAGGAACATTAGATAGATTCGTCCCTGCAAAATGCGTACACATTTTGATTTGCAACACTAAATGTCCAATACTAATCCTCCTTATAGACGGCTTAGGTCCGTTTTAATACTGGTTTAAAAATATAGGCAGCAAATCAGAAAAGCTGTGCATTAATATCTACTTATAAGTCATAAGTCCGGTGCAGCTAAAATCACAAACATCTACAGTTAAGTGCATTCAAACCACTAATATCTAAGTGCTTTCAGTTCCACTTATCTTCATGGGGTTTGATGAGAAGTGATCTATGTGTTTTTGTAACACTTTGTTCACGTGTCAATGAATTTTACATAGCAGAGCACTTAAAAAAAACATCATACCAGCCATCACATCCCGTTTATTTTCAAATGCTATGAGCTCAGAAACTCTTCGGTCATGTCTTTCAGGGAAAGCAGAGATTTGGGATAACCACCATTGTTTCCCCCCCTGTATTATAAACACATTGTATGAAGTCTGTTAAAGCATCACTGCTGAGAGCAATTCTACTGACTCGTTGGGCATTCGCAAAACAAAGGAACTACACAGTGAGGTACAAATAAGTGGTACATATCCAGTGTGTAGTCCCTTCATACGAAAGGTCTCTTGAAGACAGTGTCTCTGTTCTAGGATGTAGAGGACGTCTTTATCCTTTGTTTACTTTGAAATTCAGAATACTGAAAATGAAATAATTTTCCATAACTGTCAGGCTAATCTATTTGAACTTTGTAGTGGTTTAATGGTACACCAAGGAGATCAATATAATTTCATTTCTTTTTTTCGGACGTGTCAAAAATAAATGGGGTCAGCCAGTTTGTGAAAAATAACTCTAAAAAAGATCAAAACCTGAAAGTGAAACCTCTCTGCATTGAGCAGCCGAACATGTTTTTAACTTGTACTGTAGGATCAACAGCACTCGGTATTTAGTTCTCGTCTTACATGTGTAATTCTTTATCTGAAGGCATTTTGTTTTGAACATAAACGTACATCTATGTTGTTAATAGTGGTGTGTGAGTGCACAAAACTGAAAAAGGAGGAGTGTGTGTGGAAAGGGCAGAGTAAGTTTGATGAATTTATTGGACTACTAAATTTCTTTGTCAGATTGATAATGTGAAGACATTGTGAATGTTAGAAATTTACATTCTTCATCGTCAGGGCAATAAAAAAGAATGGGAGTCGGGTATGTGATATTTAAGTGAATATTTATACGGAAAGATTTGTTGACAGTGATAAACAACACTGCTTGTTACAATTAACTTTAATGTTTTTCTGTCAACATATTGCTTTATTTAGTATTATAAACCTGCATTTTTGTCCAGTTTTTCAAATCTATGTACGAAATATCCCTGAAATGGAAACCTATGAAGGATTGTTGACCGCCACCCGTAGCATGTGAAAGAAAAGAAAAAGTATGTTATGTTAATGGGAAAACAATCAGAGAGATTTGACATTCATGCATTTCTGAGCCCACAATCTGTTTAAAAGTCTCCCGTGCCTGAGGGACCCCCCCCCCCCTGCTGCCAAGATAAACCACTCTACCTGCTGTACTGCATGTTTCCTCTGGTCGCCTTTAATCATCGACATTTCAATGTGAACTCTACTTAACCTGAGAATTGTATTTTACAGCCTAGTGTGTGAATTATGTTTCAGAGAAAGATAGTTGTTTGTTTAGAAGATGAAGTTCAATTTGTTACCTCTTGAATGTATCTCATCTGTCCCCCTGAAAAAGGTCAATGTGATGTGGTGAAGTCCTCACTGGAGTCGGTACGGACATGATTTTTATGAACTGCTCACGGGGGGGTTATTGTTGAGACTCGTTGCTACTGAAGCTGCATTAACAACATCCCTCTGCAACTATGTAACTGTAGGATTAAAGAAAATGCCTGTGTCTGGGGAGCAGGTGCCTTTTTAATGCACTCTAGTGTTCTTTGGTTGTGTTTTTTTGTTCTGTTTTTGTGCATGTTAACTTAGATTTGTGTGTGGGAATCCAAAAGAACACTGTAGATTGTAAATTAAGAAAAACGATAACACGAGCAGAGAACTTGTGGTTACTAAGAAGAATCACCAGCTACAAAGTGTCACTTTCTTGCTTTCTCAGAGCAAGCACAATTGGCATTATTAGGTTTTGTTTTTAAATAAATTAATCATAGATTAACAATGGTTGGTTGTCTGTCTTTTTATGTATGCATTGATTTTTGTAAGGGGGAGGAACAGCAAGTGGACATCATGATTTAACAGACATGTTACCTGTCTAGGTTTATGTTTTGCTTTCCTCCATATGTTGAATTTTTCCTATCATCTCTCAATTTCGACAGTTTGTCATGTTAAGTACTATGTACATAAGTACTTTACTTAATTGAAATACTTGTACTTTACTTGAGTATTTTCATTTGATGCTACTTTGTACTTTTACTCCACTACAATTCAGAGGTAAATGTATTAAATACCTTTAGTTACTTTGCCGATTTGGATAAATTATGTTAAATATAATCATCACTTAAATAAGACTTTAGTTACACCTGGAGTAAATTCACCAGTTACCCTGCAGTATACAAAGTGATTTAAAAATAGCTGCATCTTTACCAGCTTTGATAACATATAATCAATCATTATAATCAAAACATAGTCTGCAGAGTACTCTAACTTTTGGTACTTTAAGTATATTTTGATGCCAATACTTTTGTACTTTTACTTGAGTAACATTTTCAATGCAGGACATTTACTTGTAACAGAGTATTCATAGAATCTGACATTCTACTTTTATCTAAGTACAAGACACTTACAAGGTACTCAGCTTTTACCTCACACATTCTCGTTTTCCTGTAGCTCTTTGAATTATTCTGCCTTTTTGATAAGAAACTGTTTTGCAAGAATGTTGTATAAATGGATGAAGCCCAAATGCTACACATCTCTACAAGAAGAATCTGATAATTGAATGTGCAAAGTGAGGATTTGGTGCTTTTTTGTGCAACGTCATTACATGTGAGGTTAGGGAGGAAGACCTGTGGGAGGACAGGAGGAAGATATATATGGAGGCTTCAGACCATCTGAAGCTTTAGTCACCATGAGGACGTCTCAGAAACGCCAAGTGTCCATCCTTCTTCCTAACAAGCAGCACCTGGACTGTAATGTCAGGGTGAGTGCTTAAAAGTCCTTTTGTATGTCTTCTTTATGTGTATTTATTTATTTCAATGCATCAGTTAGAATTTAAATGGATGTATGGACCTCATTATGTGAGTGGACTTGAAGAGCTGTCAGTTAAAGTGTGTGCTTGTTTTAAATATGATATGTGATCTTGTAATCATAATTTGGAACCTTTTTTTTTTTTACTGGATGGTAATTCTGACATTCATTTTTTGAGCAAAGGGAAAATCTATAAAACCAGACAGGGACTATTGTTCAGAGATAAAGAATACGATTCAATCAACAATGGTGAAAAAATTAAAACACAATAGTAGACACAAATACTGAAAAAGGGTCAAACGTATAATTGATGCTACCATCGAATATAAGCAACAACAGAATAAAAGAAAAAGATCACAAAAGTGCACTAGTGTCACAACTTTGTATCTGTTTTTTTTTTTAAAGAAATTTAGAAATTCTACTTTTGTTGTCTGTTACTTTAAATAATTGTTTTGCTGTAAATATTATAAGCGAAATTCCATATTCATGCCAACAAATTGCGAAATAGAAACCCAACCTTACTGTATAAAATCGTGGGTTTTTAATTTGTGTTGTTATTTCCAGGTGAGAGCCAGAGGCCAGGAGGTGTTGAACAGAGTGTTGAAGCAGCTGGGCGTCAGTGAGCTCCAGGTCCTTGGTCTGGCTGTTCTCAAAGGTCAGCGTCTGTGTGGGAGTGCTTAAGAAAATGTTTTGAATTCATTTACTGAGGGATGCCTGAATGTAGGGAGGCTGCTCGTAAATTAAAAAACTCACACGAGCCCATGAAGTTAAGATAAGTTGATCCATCAATGATTCAAAGAAGTGTTTTCTTAATGTTAATTTAATAGGCGTCTTTTTCCTTCAGATAATGAATACCTCTTTGTTGATTTGGAGCAAAAGCTTAGCAAATACTTTGGCAAAACATGGAAGAGAGGATCCTTAATGGTGAGTTAAAACTCTTTCTATAGATGTACTTACAGTGTTGCATGTAGCAGTGTGCCTCAGTGAACTCTATCATTTATTGACTTTAATCCAGATGTTCTGTGCAAACTACTCTTTGTCCAAGTATTGTATATGTTTTATCTTAAAACTGAATGTACATAATGTCTGTGCAGTGGTAGAAGAAGTTCTCAGATTTGTTAATTAAAAGTAGCAATACCGCATTTTAAAAGTAATGTGTTACTAAGTAAAAGTCCTGCATTCCAAATCTTACTTAACTGTAGGATAGGTAATTCACTTCAGAAACACCTTTGGTTATATTCCATGGAATGCTCTTAACATCCCGATAGCAATGAATACATTAATGCTTTGACAATAAATACATAAATACATTTCCTCTGTGGAAGGTGGCGCTGTAAAAAGCACGACCAATCATCTGAGCCGGCCCGGCTAAAATAACTGGATGGCCTACCTGCCTGTCAGCCTTCCATCTCGCGCACAAACTTATCTCGTGCCCTCATTGGTCATGTGCGCGTTCATGTGTGTTGGAGGAGGGGCTCCTTAAGGAAGTACTCAGAATCGTATCTATTAAGATTATTCATGTGTTTTTATCACAACTGGTAAATGTACAGCTAATTTGAATAACTTTATATAGTGCTACTTGATATTTTTACCTGTAAATAAACAGTATGTCAAAGTGTATTTAATCATTGATTTTTAGATTGTGTATTAGCTAATAATTTAACCTAAAAAGTAACTAAAAGTTGTCAAATAAAATGTAGTGGAGTAGAAGTATAAAGTAGCATCAACTGACAATACTCAGGTAATACCTCAAAAAAATACTTAAGTACAGTACTTGAGTAAATGTACTTTGTTACTATCCACCACTGAGTCTGTGTAACATGTTTCTTTTTGTTTCTTCAAATATGACCATGACTGTCTAGAATAGTCTAGCCTTGAACCTTGAACCTTGAATATTCTAGATAGTAGAGGGTTTATGCTTGATTTAAAGTGAGCAATATTTCTCTTTATTTAACTTTTCCAGGTCCCATTCATCTTGTTTCTGAGGGTGCATTATTATGTAGAGAGTGGGCTGCTGATAATGTAAGCTGATCTCCCATTTGCATCTTATTCTTATAACCACATTTTAACACCATGAATGTTGTTCTTGTTTTAAGTTGATGTCCTATTTGGTTGTTTCAGGAGCAGCAAGGTGCAGCAGCTGTACTACGCTGAGCTGAGGCAAAAGGTGCTGCTTTCAAAGAGCCGCCACCAGGAAGCTGTGTTCTTCCAGCTGGCAGCGTCTGCACTGCAGGCTGAGGTCGGAGATCTGGAGGAGAGGGAAGAGGAGGAGGATGAAGAGGAGAACAGAAAACACAGACTTTACTTTCTTCCTGAGGATTACTTTCCCTCATGGGTAAAAAGAAGTGTGACCATTATGTGCCGTTTTATTTTGTGTGGGTGTGTGTAACAACATATATGTCCTCAGCTGATAAAGCGTCGTGGGCGGGACTTCCTGCTCCAGCACTGCCCGGGGTTACACGCTGAGCTGAGAGGTGTGACACGAGGCCAAGCCATCCTGCAGTTTATAAAAGAGGCCGGGTACCTGCAGGATGGAGCAGTCACCTTCTACAGGATGAGACAGGTCGGAAATGTTTCAAGTGTCATATGTTATTCCCCAAATGGAAATTGTTGTTTTGTTTTTTTGTCCGTTGATAAAATGTTTTGATTTAGGAACATGATACAAAGAGATATCCAAAATTCCTCTTTTGACCCTAATGTTTCAACAAAACAAAACATTTTGAACCTTGCTTTATTCAGATTCGTATCTCAGAACTGTTTGTATTAGCAAATATTTAATAAGATATAGCCTTATTTGCACATTGACATTTGAACTTTTAATATAAAACAATAATTGTCTCAATGTAAGATATCAACTGGGAAGTTTCATGCTGATTTCTTTTAATAAATAACTATTACTTTACACCTGTAGTGTCTTCCCTTAACATATTCTGTCCGGCTTTATGAGATCATTATCTATTTGTTTAAAGTAACTCTGCTTCTTTGTCTGACTTTGTTCATGTGTAGGAGAAAAAGGAGCTGAGAAGTTTAATCCTTCTTGGTGTTGCATCGAAAGGAGTGCATATTTATCAGGTGGCTTTGTGTTGGGAGTTTTTTTTTTAACTAGAACTCTTTAAGGTTTTGACTTTGAACAAACCTTCTGGAAGTTTCTTAATGAATGTACTGCTGCCTTTGCATGTATTAACATTGAATGCTTTTATTCAGGAGGTGGAAGGGAAGCTGTGCCTGTTGTATGATTTGACCTGGACCCACGTTGACCGCCTTACTTTCCAGGTCGGTTCTAAAGACAAGCACACACACACACACCACACACCACACACCACACACCACACACCACACACACATACACACACACACACACACACACACACACACACACACAGAGCCAGATTCATCTAACCGGCTGTCTAACAGGCTTTCTACGGTAGTCCTTGTTTAACCATGTAAAATAGTCTAACAGCGTTTGGACATACACTGATTATAATACTTTCCAACCTCCCCCGCTTGGTTTGAACTCCTCTAGGGTCGCGTTTAACTGAATCATTACAACATCTGCACAAGAATTAATTGAATTACAGAGTTAAATTACAAATGTACAGCGTCATTGGGAATCATTCAGCC